TTTTTTTTTTTTGTGGGATCTAAGAACAAGATTAGTCCAAAACATTTATTTATTTATTTATTTGTTTATTTATTTATTTATTGACATAGGGTCTCGTTGTGCAGCGCAGGCTGCCCTTGATTTCACTGTGCATGCAGGCCAGGCTTTCCTTGAATGCACAGCAATCTTGCCTCAGCCTCCTGAGTGCTGAGGTTCCAGGCACGAGCCACCATGCCCGGCTGCACAACTGTTTTTCTAATTATAATATTATCTTCCTTTCTCTATCTTCTATTCTCAATTCAGCAAGACAATAGAAAACTCAGTGCGGGTTGCCTGGCCTGTGAACCTGCTGGTTGATTTGTGGGCTGCAAATCTCATCAAAAGGCTGAGTTTATAGCACGCCCCTCTCTGCCTGGAGCAGGGTTTGAACATCTTTCACCTATTTCTTTTAAAGTGGTTTTAGAGGAGGGAGATTTCTCCAGGGATTTTGGCTCCTGGCTGCAGCCTCTTCCCGGTGCAGAGGCACCCCACCCTGTGCTCACACCCCGTGACACGCTGCCAAAGGCTTTGGGCCAGGTGGGCCTCCCCCGGCCTGGGCGCCTTCCAAAGCCTCCCAGCGCTGCTCGTGCACTGCGGGGTGCTCTGCTGACTCGCTTGATGGTCCCTCTGATGTAAACTTAACAGGCAGATGAGCTAACAGCCTAACCATGCCGACGGTGACTCCTCTCCATGTTAGGTCACAACAGCAGAACTCGTCTCCCCCACCTCTGCCCGCCGTCCTTACCTTCGGCTACAGACAGGGCTTGTAGAAAAGATGCTTGGAGTGTGTTCCCCGGATGAGTCAGAGCCCTGTTAGCCACCCACCCGGGCAGGTGAGAGAACAGTTAGGGAGGGCTTGGTCAAGTGCGTTCCCTAAAACGACAGGTCTTGCCACTGGCGAGTGGCTGTTTAATGTAGAATTTGCTGCAAGAGTTCAAAGAGAAGAGCGTAAAGACTATATATAGAGGAGCGCCTGCGTGTATAATACACATCTCACGAAGGAAAACACATCCAAACATATATTCTGCCCTTTAAATCCTTATAGTAGGCATGACTGTCCCACTGTCCCTCCAGGTCTAAATCTCAGGATTCCCATTTATGGAAGAGATCAAATTTCCAAGACAGAATGAATTCTCTTTTTTTTTTTTTAACATTTATTTATTTATGTATTTAATTTCTTGACTTTTTTTTTAAAGGCTATCTTTCTTTCTTTCTTTCTTTCTTTCTTTTTTTTTTTTTCTTTTTTTTTTTGTCTGTGTGTGCCGCCAGGGGGGCCTAAGCCGGTGCTTAGTCTGCTGAGCTATCTTTGTCTGCCCAAGTCAACATAAATTTATTTTTATTTTTTTTAAACGTTTATTTATGTATTTA